AAGTATCATACCTCTGTCCCAGGAGGATACAGACTCCTGGACCTTGCACAAGTGACTGAAACAAGTCAGAGATTGGATTTACTGTAAATGTACTATGAACTGCCTTGTTCACAAGCACCTGTTTAACTGGGGACCCAAACGAGGGTCAGTAAGAATCTTCCTCTGTTCTTTACATCATGCTTTCATGGCATTATAATAAGAAGCCAATGGTTTCTTTTAAGGAAAACAACCTAAGTATTCAAAAGTCAGAAAAGTTCAAAATTAAAGTTGTTTTTAGCAATGTAAGTAATATTTCTCTAGAAATGTGTTGAATTCAAATTTTATTTTTTCTTTTTGCTTCTCAAATAACTAAGATTTACATGGCTTTATTTTTTTTGCAGATGAGTGTGTTAGGCAGGGAGGGATATAATGTAACAAATACTGCTGCAATTCAAAATGGAAATGTAGAATTTTCAACTGTAAAATGACACCATTAGGAAATTGAAATGTAGCATAGTTCATACCAACCATGACAGCTTTTTCCAGAACATCAGAGCAGCTTTTTTCAGTTAAAAACCTAATACTAACCCTGATACTAAAGCTTAAATCTTTATCGAACTTCCACCTTCAGTTATCTCACTTTGGTATGTTACAAATTACCTTTATTTCCTCAGCATTACATTTTCTAATGTCTCTATTGACAACCATTAAAGGCTCCTCAAAGTTCACAGACTAAAGTCCATTAAAGAAAGTTAGTTTATTATTTGACTTTACACTGCCCAAAATCTGGATAAAAAAAAGTCATGCAAAGAAGCTTGGGACAAACAGATCTTCTGATTAGTTAAATCAAAAAGTAGAGAAGTAAAACTGAAGTCAGACAGGAAAAAAAAAAAAAAAAGAAAAATGTTAAGGGAAAAAAAGTTAACAAAACAATCCCTGATTTGTGATTAGAACACATGTTGATTTTTTGTAAAAGTTAAAAAATATACATACACTTTTTTCTTCTTTCTCATTTTTAAACCAGTTTACCAGCATGCTTTGTAAAGAGCTTTTCAAACTTAAGGAATGGTGGAAAGACATTTTTAATACTCCAACTATCCCAAGATTCAGAGGCATGTCCCAGAATCTCTCCACAGTAAGTTTTTTTATTTAAACTGCTGCCAAAATATAAATATGCATATGACCTACAATGAAAGAATTAAAATGAAAAATTTTTCATTCCCACCAGCAGACAAAATTAACTTCAAGTGAATTTTTTTTTTTCTGCTTTGGGGAAACATAGCTGGCCTAATCAAAGGAAAGACCAAAATTAAAAGCCCTCTGATATAAAATGAGAAGATGCTCATACAGGTTTTTGAGGAAATTTTCTCTGAACTTACTTCCCTCAAAGTTAACAGCCTTGGTACTGTCTGACAATAGGTCAGGGTAACAAGGCCTGTTAAAATGTAAGGTTTGCTGTACAGCAATTCGCCTTTTGCACTAGAGCTGCTACTTCTAAAGCAATAGGTAACCTGGCATATCAAGGGTACTACAAAATAACCTTGGGAAGTGAAACTTTTTAATCACGTGTCTTAACCCTCCGAGCCTGAATTACTTCTAGAGATGCCTAGAGCTTCGGAAGGCGCGGTAAAACTGCATATGAATAAACAATGCCATTAAATTACTTTTAATATAGCTTGAAATAGTTTTCTTCACAGTATTTTTACATGCACATGCATTGTTTACATAAATTACACTATCAAGTTTAATATTTAACTTCCCATATCTCACTGATTTATTGTAGAGGACAATATCCCAAAATCGGTGATTTTGGACATTTATAACAAAAATGTGTATACTTTGCCAAAAGTCACTGTATAAGCAAAAGGCAGAGACAAACCTCCAGCATCAACAGTTTGGAGAATACATGGTATGGAAATAAAAAACACCCCAAAATTCTTTTGCAAATGCTGCTGAAGGTATACCATTGACCTAGACAGATATTTTTAGAGCAGAAGTCAGCTAAACTTCAAAGTCTGCTTTCCTGAGATATGAAAATTAATTGAACACAGAGAGTCTTTTCATCCTCTTTCAAGATCATTAATCTTGTTACCACATATAGCACTTCTTAAAAAATAGTACTTCAGTGCTAAATTCAAAAATCAATCATCCATTGAAGAGACATGCTGACACATCAGGATTGTTTCAGCATCTAAAGCAGAAAACACTGTTATGTCCTCATGTAGTGCACTGTCTCCTAAACAAAATGTGAGCTGCCTGCCAGGTACACAGTGCAGAGGGGAGCTCCATCCTCTGTAATTCTGGGCTGCTTTTAAACCCAAGTTGCAATTTTTTTCTTAAGAAAACCACCAATGTGAATAACAACATTTTCATAGTCATATTGAGTGACACAACAGCTGCTTCTGAGATGACAAAACATTTTCCAAGTACCATTGCCACAGCTTTTCTGCCCCAGCCATGGAAGGGTAACGATTACAACCTTCATTTCTCAGACCTTCAGCTCAAATTTTCTTCTCGTCTTTTACATTGAGTGAAATATCTCTCATAGCAGACTTCTCATGGAAAACCATCTCTATAAAAGAAGGGATGAGTCCTCTGTTCATTTAACACAGAGACATATGGCTTTCACATATTACATTGACCTTGAGGGTCTAAATTCCACCTTTAACCTCTTGCTCTCCAGGTACATCCTGGAATTTTTGAAGGTTCAGGGTCAGCCATGCGGGACTGCCAACTGCATGGACCAGAGGGAGATTGGGGCTGTCACCATCCAACAGGCTAAGCACAATGACAGGGACACAGAATGGCAAAACAGAGATATCTCCTCTGCTGCAGCCTGGGCACCAAGTAGAAGGCACAGAGAGCCTGTCAGCACTGCAGGAAGGGGCTCCTGTAAAACCAGTCCCTGCTCCACACGGGATTCAGATCTGGCAAAGTTGTCCTTCATATACAGAGCTCCATTCTGTGCAGAGGAGCATGTGACTGAACTTCTCTCTGCTTCAGCAAAACACTCTCTCAATCTTACGAGGAAGGGAAGCAATCCACCTGGCAGAAAAGTCATATAAAAAAGATTTTATTTTGCTTCTGAGGGCCTTAGCACTGCAGGTCAGAGTTGAGACTCATGTAATTTAAGGGAACAGTGGTGGCACAGTGCTTCCATGCATACCCGCAATCTGGATATATCCTGTTCCAGACAGCAAAAGTCTCTGATGCTTGGCATGGCGCAGCATACAGCAGTGGGGCAAGAGGAGCGGGGGAAATTTTTAAGAAGTATTGATGGCATAATCTCACAGGGATAATTAAATAGAGGGATTTTCAGGTGAGGAAAGTTCTATTTCATTGCAGCTATGCTGCAGTTCTGTAATGAACCCCACAAAAGGGGGGTTCCTCCTGGCCCATCACTGCCCCGTGCCACTTGAGCCAGTAGGGTCATGGACAGGGACAGCACCCACACGTGCACACACACTCACACCCCCAGCCACACTGCTGAGCTCAGAGCACGTGCCCTCTGCTTTCTATGGTGGGCTCGAGAAATAAACCAGCAAACACAGAAGTGCCCACCACCAGCATCCATGAAACCAGAGCTCAGGGACAAACACAGCACATAACCAGATGCAGTGAAGCATCCTCAGGCCCGGAAGAGCACGAGATTAATCTTTTCCACAAACAACACCATCTTTGTATCACCTCAGCTTAATGGAAGGGCAACATTTTGAAAGTTTAGAAAGAAAAATTGCAGTCTGTCAAGACTTCATTGTTTGGGAACTGAGTCAGCCTAACACTGTACGTACACTGTGGCAACCACAAACAAGCTGGAACAGTAAACGTTTGCTATTCCTGGTTTCTTTGGTGCTCCTGTATACATCAATCATGGCATGGAATACCTCAAAAAAGAAGCTATCACTATTCATGTGCCTTTTCCTAAACTAATAGCTCACAGATAATTATAGGCCTTTATTGTTTGACTGTTTTAGTGTTCAGCAACATATCTATCTTCTTGCATCAAAACCTGTTTTCTGTCAAAAAAAAGGGCAAACTGGCATGGCTAGATGAAGGAGTTTAATACACAAAATGACATATTCCTTACTCAGCTTTAAAAACAAACAGTAGTAAAAAATGACACATAGCACCACTCACTCTGCAAACAGAAGAAAGCAAATAAATCTCAATCTTCTGAGATTAAAATATCTGTTGATATTTTACCAAGCATACCTCTGCAACCCTGGTTTCTTAGAGCACAGATCAACTTCCTAGTAGTTTGGTGGAGTCTTTTTCTGTTCAGTATGAACTTCCAGACTTAACTTCCTTGTTGCTGAAAGAATGCAGGAAGGCAGCAGGTGCATGCAGGCTTGAGAGACAATAAAAGGCAGGGGGTAGGGGAGAGCAACGTTTTTCTGCCTGTTAGAGATAAAGTTAACTAGGAGACTATAAACAATTAAAAAACACAACCACAGCCAAAAATCAATGATGCTGTTAAAGATTCAATGCAAACTTGCCCTCCCAGAAGACCACTTGTGTGTCTGTGTGTTCTGCCTATCTCCATATATGCACTTCTCAATTCTGTCAGGCACTTGGACTAGGTTGGAAGCGGATTCTGAGCTTCCCTTCTACAGTCCTGTAGCCGCGAAAGCAGTCCCTGAACGTAAGGATTCCCTACACGGCGCCCCGCATCTCCGCACGCGGTTCCCAGAGCGGGACCAGCACCCGAGCTCCTGAAGCATTCCAAACTCTGCCCCAGTCAGCCCAGCACCGTGACTGACAGCATCCAGCAGCATCCAGCGGCGACTTCTTGCGAGAGCAGGAAAAGCGCCAGGCATCGCCGGGAAAAACGAAACGCTTCCCCGGTGACAGCAGCCCGACCCCCGCCCACACCCGCTCCTGCCGCGGGCTCTCCGCGCTGCTCCCGCGGCCCTTGGGCAGACACGGCGTGACAGCGACGGACCCGCCGTCCCTGCCGGCCGGGGCTCCGCGCTGAGGATGCCGCCCGGGCCCGCCGCTCCCGGCGCGGCTCGCAGCCTCACCTGGTCCAGCGGGATGCCCAGCAGCGCGCTCAGGGGGTGCAGCAGGGTGGAGCCGGTGGTGCGGTGCGGGGCTCCGGGTGCTTCGGCCATGCCGCATCCCCCCCAGTACCGCCGCCGCACGGCCCCGCCGCCACCTGCGCGCCCGCGCCGCGCCCGCTCCGCGCCGCGCCCGCCCCGGGGCCCTCCGTGAGGCGGGGCCGCCGCCGACGGCCGGGGCGGGGCGGGGCGGGCTCCGGGGGCGGGGAGCGGGAAGCCCTCGCCATCCCTGAGGCCGCATCTGCCGCCGCCCGCGGGCGCGGTGCCCTGGCGCGGTGGCACCGCGGGCTCCGCGCGGCCGGGAGCGCACGGACAGCCGCTGCCCCGGCGGAGTCTCCCGGCCGCAGGTTCCTGCCGAAAGCACACGCTTGTCAGACACCGGCAGAGCTCGCAGCTGCGCCAAGCAGGGGAAAGCTAGAGTGTCACAGTCCCAGGAAGAAATATTTATTTACTTACTTATTTATTTATACAGAGACCCTTCACAAGGGACAAAAAGGGAAAATTGAGTAGTAAACTTTAAGCGATATCTTTATCTTGCAAGTTCTTCTGCCAAGCTCATCTTATCTGCAGAAGTAGTGTTCTTACGCTTGCCCCGGACAATGTGGCATTGTGTTCCAAGGAGAGCTCGGTCAGCCGCTGCAAGCTCTCTGTTCAGCTCACAGCTGCTGGCATGCTCGGAACCTGGAATATCCCAAAGGATCCTTGCGGGCTTGGTTACAGTAGCTCTTCAATAGGCTGGTCGTTTTCTTTTCTTCAAGTAATTGCCAACTGCGGTAGCTGAAACTGTAATAGTGGCTTAAAATGGTATTGTGCCATGTACAAATGCCCTGCTTACGCTGCGCAAGGCTGTGCTGTGCTGGAAAACCCAGGCAAAGGCTGTTCAGTGGGGAAGGAGGTTTACAAAAACGACACTCTCTTAGTATCATTTTAGTGGTGCTAGTTTAAATGTATGTGAAAATATACACATGCATACATGCACACACATACTTTAAGTGGAGAAAGTAAGAGGTTTGGAAGAACTGGATAGGCATGCATGAGAGTTTTTAACGTTTTCCATTATAAGTTGCTCTTTCCAGTTTAAAATTTGCCAGCCTGAAACTCTCCGCATGGAACTTTCCATGGGCTGTGTCTGCCCCAAGCAGGCTGCTTGTTGAGCTTTGGCTAAAAACATTGATCTGCTTTTGGGAACAGAATAAAAGTGATTTACGACACACACAGTACAGATAATATCAAAGCTTTTTTTCACTGTGGAAATCTAGTACCTCCGGGAGGGTGACTTCAAGTTGAGACATGGTAGATTTTTTTTAATCAAGGAAATGCCTTTCACTGTGTTTGTGAAACTGCCCAAGAGCCATCAACTGCCAGAGTTCTGGGGGGAAAACACATATAATCCATGTGGATACTCAGGGGGTCAGCACATAATATTTCTGCAGACCATAAGCATTCTTCTCCCCTTCATATTCACTCTATGTGACTGGACTCCACCTATTTCTGCCACTAGAGGAGCAGGATGGGATCACACGGTTCCAGGCACAGGAATTGTATGTCTGTATTCAGTGCTCAGCCATCTGGGCTGTGTGGAAAACAGCTGGAAGGAGGGAAAGACAGATGGAGAAAGTCAGGCACAAGAGCACAAGAAGGAAGGAGATGGCAACTTTGAAGTGGGTTAGCACAAGAAGCCCGGGGAAACGAACTAGAGCAAAGCTGGCTACAGATACAAAGGAACATAGCAATCCTTTTACCTTGTACTGTAGCCATCAGGACTTCCAAGATGGAAATTTCATCTGGAATATCATGTTTAATAGCCACCCATAGGCCAATCTTACATTTCTAATATATTTTGAATTAACTTATCTTTTTGACCTCCACAGGATCCCATGGGTTCTGCTGTTTAATTATGTGCTATATGAAAAAGTACTTCCCTTGGTTTGCCTTAAAGCAGCTGCCTTGTAATTTCATTGAGGGCTGTCTTGTTCTTGTGCTCTGAGAAATAAACAAGTAATCATTGCTTAATCACCTCCCCCATGCTTTTCATAACTTCATATACCCCGAGTTGCCTCTTGTCCTCACTGAGGACTCTAGTTAATCTCTAATTACATGGAAGTTATTGGTATCTTTGTCCTTCCTTTTCAACCTTTTCTGTTTTCTTTGAAAGGAAGAGACTGATGTTTTGTGGCAATGAAATATGTCATTCTTCATTCCTTTACCAAGAATCTCTAATATCATCCCTAGGGACCTCAAAGTCTATTTTCTCTGAGGTAGTAGCTAATTTACAGCCGAATGTGTATGTATAATCAAGATTTGCCTTTTCCTGCTTACACTTACCAATATTAAATGTCTTTAAATTGCACCACATATAGCATTGTTAAATCCATTTCAGCTCAATAAGAAAGCTCTGAATATGATGAATTACTTCATATCCTTGCTAATTTGGTCTTCTTATCTTCTTTTCCAAAAATTTAAGGTGCTCAACAGGACAGATTTCTTTGTATTAACTTCCAATTCAGCATTTATTCTCATCCTTTATTTATTTTCTTTTTAACAGCTAGTAAGCCAGGGGGAAGTATTTCCTGTGATTCTGTGATTATTTTATGTCTTCGGGTGTGAAACCTTACCCCTTATTGTATCTGGAAATACAAATATACTTTCTTGACAGGATCACTCTTGGTGTTTAGAGAACATAAATAGATTTGTGATGTATAACTTCTGTACAATGACTGCATTTTCCCCATTATATCATGGTTTCCTGTGTGCCTTCCATGCTTAAAAGACTCACAGACATCAACAAGAGTAATTAGTACAGTCCAATATTACCATTTCCTTTCATGGGAATATTAAATCCCTGTGTTACTTAACTTTTAAAGTGTTTCCCCCTCTGTTTCCTTGTAAGAAAGACAGGATACATTTTGTCAGAAAAGCAAATCAGACTGGAAATAGAGGTATAACCATTTTATCATTCACCTTGCAAAACACTGACAACATGAATTTTGTGTCAGGTTCCTTTTTTTAAGGAAACCAAATGTTAATGAGTAACAAATAATTCTGAATTAAAATAAGAAATTAGGCAAGAAACATCCTGGTGGTCTTGCTAATAGTTTTCCTGTATGAATTTGCACTGTTTGATAGCTTAACTGAGTTTTACTTGATAAACAAATTATTTTGTTAAGCTTATCTAATGTTATTAAACTTATATACAGCTGTGAGTTTTTTAAGACTTTGTTCTTTTGTTTTATTTTTTAAGTATTTTGCTGTTAAAGAGAACTAGCATACAGATATTCCTGTGTTCTGTTTCGTATCAAGGCCTGTTTGATAGTAAATCTATTTTTGAGTGACTAATTTTACAAACCTCACAATTTTGCAGCTGATAGAATTCTCCCATAACTAAAATTGGGAAAAATCCCCAAAAGATTTGGTAGCTTTCCTATTGCAACTGTGAAAGAAAATATGTTGACAATTTAGCTGATACATAGTTATAAATGTAAGACTATTGGTGCAGTTAAACTTGCTCAGGGAGTTTTTATAATGTCACAATTCAGGTTAGGCCTGGGTTATTGGTATGTGAGTACTGTTCAAGCAGTACTCAGCAAATGATGTGAGTTTTATCTGTTCACTGGCAATTCCTGGGAAAATTACCAAACTTCTACATGTCTCCCTGCAGAGATTCCTAATTTCAGCAAAGCATTATAGCATAGGTTTAAATCCCACAGGATTGCAGTTTTCAGTGAATTTTAAATAATGCTTTGGTGCCTTTACATGTCAAAGCCAAAATAAAGTTAGTTTGTGGAAAAAAATGGGTGAAAATAAGAAAAATATAACCCCCTCTCAGTCTCACATAAAGTACAGTGAAACAAACATGTGTGAAGAATAGAACAGAATGAGTATTTGGATCATTTGAAAATATAGGGAGAAGATTGTTGCTTGGGTATTTTGATTGATTACCCCAAAAGTACATTAAAATAACTATTAGATAATAAATATAAATACCAAATGAAGTATCTCCAGGAAGGGTGTGTTTATTAAGTAGTTGCAATCAGAATGATTGAATGGGATGCACTCAAGGATGTTTTGTTCTGGGTGTCTGACAGCCTTCAATCTAAGTTTTAATCAAAAGAAGTGCTGTGGACATTGGAATAGACAATGGAGCCATCTGGTCTCTGTAGATTATTCTGTGTATGTACGTTTGTATCCATCAACTTACAGATGTGTGTGAGTGCTGGAGCTGAAGGCATTTGCTGTGTGCTCACACACTGCACACATAACTCATGTGCATATTAATAGTTTTATTTTCTTACAATGTAAGTGATGGAAAATATTATTGGTTGTAACTGAAATTTGTTATAATTACATAAGAAAATATACCTAAATCTAGTAATAACCTCATGAAAAGGGTGTTCTATCTTCTTATACTATGTGAACACTGGTGCTTTGCTAAACCAAGCTCAGAATTTTTGAAGCCTTGAAGTAAAATAGAAATAGCAACCTAAAATCAACTGGGAGCTACACAGGTCATAAGGAAGTGGACAGGATTTTGAAAATTCAAGAAAGAAAGTACAAGTCTTGCTACCACATGTGATACTAAACACTGAAAGATCTTTAATATTAACTACAGTGCAGGGAACATTGGCCTTAAATAAAAGGGTTTTTTTAAGCAGTAGGCAGATTTCCAACAACCTCTGTGGTTACCAGAAATGTCTTTAATGTTCATAGTTTTCTTGCTGTCACCTGTGATGCTACTTAGCCCTAATTTTTGCAATTTTATAAATGAATCCCTCCTTTTTCCTTGTCCTTAGTGGGAACAAAATTTAATTCAAATTTAATGGTTTTTTAGTTAATATCCTTCACTCTTCAATTCTAAAAAAGTTTCAAAAATCTCTTATTTGGAGTAAACTAGAAGAAAACTAATTCTCTGTAAGCCAATTCACAGTTCTGTATATCAAGAACATATAGTTTCATGATTATGGTTTACAGATTTTCAAAGGCACATGTTTTATGCATGTTATTTATACAGTGAACTCTCTGATTAGTGTCAATGCATTTCAATGTATAAACCACTGCCTTACAAAAGTCCTTAAGAGTAGTTTCACTGGACATTCACTTTTATAAACTGGA